TTTTGGCAGTAGAATAAAATCGATAGTATATCACACAGTAGTGGTCAAGACTTTTACATCCGAGAAATACGTGGAAACCAATATGAACCAATTCTTATTACAAAAAATACGTGTAATATTTCCATTTACTTTCGTTCCAATCACCAGGCTGGCCAACAAGCTGTCACCTACTCCTTTTCACGCAATTGTTTGCTCCTGCTTCTGAAGAACGTCGAAAAGAATTATTTAATTCATCAAAGTGAATTTTTATCTTGTTCAGTCACTACGTAAATGATCAATTTATTGAATCTTCAGATGGCTTAAATTAGTCTGACCAAAAAAATAATGCATTTGGCAATGCATTAACAGCTTCCTTAGAATATTTATTTGAGTCATATGAATACGAAAGTTTCTATTAAACTTTAATGTTGGGTTAATTATATAAAAATATCCAGAGGGTTATATGCTGAGGGTACCAGAATTCTTCTGGAGAAATTTTTGGCAGGAGGAGAGCGGTAAGAGACAGCAGGATTCGTTCCAAGGAGAATCTCCGTTGGTTAAGAGCTTTCCCTTTCTGGCGGACCTAAAATTCATCGATGAGAAGGCACCCTCCCCAGAGTGCAATATTCTTGGTGATGAGGTGCTTGAATGGGCTTTAAATTTTCCTTTTCCGAAGAATACATAATTGTTAAAGAGTTTGTCTGTTTGGCAAAATATAAAAAGTATTTGATTTCTTTTTTTAACAACTGGAAGGCAAAAGTAAATGCAAAACTAAAAATAAACTCGGTGGCGCAACAGCCCTAGTGGGCCAAGGCCTGCAGTGCCCTGAAATCTGCTTTCTTGACCTTGGGCCCCGGAGCCTTGGGCAAGCGGTGACTTTATTCACAAGTGCACATCAGTATTGCAACTGAGGGCGGGGTTTCAGGAAATGGACCAATGACCTTTTATTGCTCTTATGATGCTGAATTTTTGAAACTGTGCATATAAGCTCATGTTGTTATTTATGCTTTATTACCGCTTTTGGGCAAAAGCTTGAAATATAAAAATATAAGTAAAAGCATATTTTAAATGTCTATTCTATCATAGAAAATCTCGTAGTGCTTTCATTTTATAAGTTTATTTAATCGTCAACATTTCACTTTCACGAAACTTATCATGCACTGATATTCGGATTAATATTCGTGACATATTATCGCTCTTTATATCTATAAAATGACTCAAGCTACAATTAGCCTCAAATATTATGCATTTACTAATACTTACGTATTAAGAGAACTCAAATATATAATTTTTTTAGTGAGCTGAGAATAACTGGAAGTGTTATAACGAATCTATTATTTTTATATCTCAATACCCGCATTCCTTTGATTCTGAAAGCGTAAGATTCAAAATATGTATTTTGAAGGATCTGATTATACACGTTGTTAACATTAAAAGTTATGCATGAATAAATCAAATATATTCGTCTTAAATAAGATAAATTCATTCTATCTGAAGAGCATTTCTTGTGCAGGCATTTAAGAGTTAACAGTTATTATTGCGAAATTTAACACACTAAATGTGTAGGAATGAAAATTAGGAAAGTTCATTTTGAATAAATCTGCGCGTTGGTTATTATCATATGCGGACTGTAATTAAAAAAAGGGTACTGTTCCATTATCGGGACCGGATTCAGAAATGTATGTTGGTATGCAAGTATGGATGGATATATGTGTTCGTGTATGCATGTATATAAGTATATACGTATGTATGTGTGTGTATGCACACATATACATACACACACAAGTGTATACATACATACATTCTGAATCCGGTCCTCATAATAGAAAAGTATTAAAAAATGCTAAGACTTCTACTACTTACGTATGTAATTATGCTAATATTTGATGTAACTTCGTACTGAAAATTTTCGCAAGAAATCCATGATGCTTTAATTATTTTGTACAGGAAAATGCGTAGCAAAACATTTTCAACGATTTTTGCTTAAAGCGTGCAAACGCTATCCGAAATGACAAAAATATTACTGGAAGGCTATTGGTCCATTCTAGAAGCCACTCCCTCTGTGGCGATACAGATGCGTACTTACGAAATATTCCTCCCTGTGTTTAGTCCCCAAGCGAGCCTGGTACTCATTTTATCGACCCATTCAAGAAAGGATGAGTCAATCTTGCCCAGCTCGGGGATCGAATCCCGCACCTGTGGTACAGCTACACGACGCGCTAGCGACTGCGCCACCGGAACTAAAAGTAAATGTAGTGTGTTAATTATTGTCCGTTGTTCAGCATACACTTCTCCAACTAAAGACCTTTAACAAAACAGAAAATATGCCGAAGTCAGTTCTTCATCGATAAGACATATACATACATCATTAATGATTTACTTCAGTATGAGGAGATATAGATTTCTTCCTTCCAGGAGTTCCACAGATCATGGATCATCAGCCATAATAAGAAGCCTTCAGCCTCCTGGCTTATGTATATCATATGTTGAAATGTCCTCAAAAACGATATGCTCATGATTTCCGGTGAAATACCGGTAGACTTTAGACTTCTTCAGCGTGAATTTCAATAATGGTGAGTAATTTCTTGAATAAGCAATTATGGCAATCAATCTTTTTAAGATAAGCAGTAACGCTGAAGAGGCAGGCACGTGAGGTGGAGAAGGAATCAGGAAACAGAGAGATCGTATGGCTGAGATATCACAAGTGCTAAAATTAATTCTTGGTTAAATAGTTGAGAAAGCATAAGATAGAAATACACAACGCATGTAAAAAAAGCAGAGTAAAAATCTAAAAAGTAAAATGATGAAGAAATAATATTTACAAGTCCCAGTAAATATTTATTGAGCTCGACTGCAGTCGAACTCACGATCTCTTTGCCCAAATACAAACGCCGAGTTTATCCCGCTCGGCTGCGTAGCTCTAAGTCAGAGTGGCGAATAAGCATTTAAATGAAGAGGTGAAATGCTTGCAGAGGAAACTCTGTTTTATCGTTTTCTTTATTTATACTGCTAAATTTGTTGCATAAGTCTCTCAGACTATTTGTTGCATAAGAGATTTAATTCATCGAAATTTCCAGTGTTGGATACTTTTGGCTTTTCTTGCTGTGGAGCATCTTTGTTGCAGTTTATAGCATCTGCGTAAATTTTAGCATTAGTGAGAAAAGGTTGGAGTATGTTCGGTAAAGTTTAGGAAAATTGTTTTTAAATATAGGCTTCTGCTTGCTGTTTTTTACTTTGTTGCTGGGGTGTTCAGGACAATCAGAACTGACGACAGGGTTGGAACCAGCGCATAAGACACATCTCGCAAGTATATCTTTTTTCCCTTTTATAGAGCATTCATAAAAATTATGACTGGTACTTTTCCGTTTCACAGGCGCAAATCTCACTAAGCAGACTTTATTGGCGACAACACACGGTATACACATAAAAAATTTTTAACAAAATGTTAGTTCTAAGAATTTTTTATTTTGAAGGCATAAACATTTTAATATCGTTTAAAATTTTGTACAAAGACAAAATAAATAAAGATAAATTTGTAAAAGGATATTACTTTAAGAATTTACTATGCTTTCATAGTTCAACATCCTGATTCGCCGGTTCATATCACATGAACCTAAGTGATCTTATCTCACGTAAACTGCGCTACAAAAATATAATTCTCTCAGTAATTATCTACATTAATTTCAAGTTAAATCTTAATTTGGAATACAAGTTTAAATGCAAGAATTATTTCAATTCGTACGAATAGCTTACTTACAAATTATGTAAAACTGCAGTTCTTTACTTCGCTAATGGATCCTCATTAGAATTGATGAATTTAATCGTCGACTTTGCCTTTTATATATTTTCGGCTTCGGGTAAGCTGCGTGGTTGCATCCTAATTGACTTAATGACCGCGAATGGCCTTAGGGCATAAAAATTGAGTTATCTGGTAAAAATTCTATGGAATCTTATGCCAGTATTGAAAGAAACAATCAATCTGATAAGAAGTGGGGGGGGCGATCTGTTTTGAAAATGAAGTGTAAAATGTTACCAGAGAGGATATTCCGTTTGGCATAAGTTGTACCACTACTGGCGACTTTATCGCCTGCGCAAAACGGAAAACGTACCAAATTCTTTATAAAAAATACAAATCTCATAAAGCCAAAGGCTCAGAATTGTTTGTTGCCAGAAGGCTTTTGAAATATCACACAAACCGGCTGCATTCAAGTTCCGTGCCAGAGGTGAATCTCAACTTTGTAATATTCTATTTGTAGAGATGTAGCTATATTTTTATACTGCGTATTTAAAAGCTATTAAATTACTAATTTTTTACCGCCAGTTTGGCAACCCTGCTCTCGAGATGAACCAGTTTATTTTATTTTCGATTTTAGTTATGGGGAATTAGGTTGGCGAATGCACGAGCGAAAAAAAAAGAATTCTCTCGCATTTTGCTTTGTGCTGGTATCTGTGTTGAATGCAGTTTCTATTTCATTAAAAATGAGAAACTTTTCACATATAATTTTATTGAAAACTTAAAACAATTTTATTGTGATCGCACAGAACGGCCACACTTTAAAAGATAGGCGGGAGCCATAGGCATAAAGTTAGGAATATTTAAATTATGTCTATATAGAGTGTACCTTTCACCCTAGCATTACAAACATTCGTCAAAGTGCAGATATTATGTCCATTGAATGATAATTTGCCATTTATTCAACTTTTTTCACGTGTGTAGTGACACATAAATTGCATCATTCTGTATCCGAATGAGTGCTGTTGACATTTGAATTGGGTTCTAATCCGACGCTTCGAAACTTTCTTTCTGGTGCAGCTGTTATATCTACAATACAATGCCAGCAGTTTTTCACCTAACTGGTCTTCGACCTCGAGATAAGTATTGTTTAATTGATGTGTTCACTCAGACATGCTTCTGATGTGGAAACAATAGTTCATTCATTAGTTTGACACGGGTTATTCAATGATTTGATGTATGAGATATGACACTTAAAACTATGCGACGTACATGATCTCTAACAGTACATAAATGAACCTTTACGTGGGACCATTTTATGTCATGCTGTCACTCTGGTAGATCCTTCAGAAAGATTTAGTTTTAGTTTTACAGGGAAGGAATCTGTTTGCCAGACCTTGTCTTTTCGGAAAAATTATATTGAAAATTGAACAATCTGCAGTAATAAACAGATCCTTGTAATAAAAAAGAGTTTTCAGGTAGTAGGTTTAAAATGTACGGTCATATAAATATTGCTCTTTTCCTGAAGTTACTGTGTATGTCATCCTTTGACATTAAAGAGTTAGGTAAGTAAAACTACTTATTCGATATGTTAAAGTATATTTTCTGTACTTCAAACTAATCTATATATATAAAGAAGAATGTCTATTTGTGTGTTTGTTCGCAATTAACTCAGTCACTACTTTAGCTATCGTCACCAAACTTTCTACAATTCTTTTTCCGGTTCTGGGAAAGGTCGACGTCCACTTTTTTCCAAAACAAAATAGCTAAAATCAGAGATATTAATTAGAAACTTTGAAAACGCTAATTTTCGCCCTCATTTTTTTTTCGAGTGGCAACAGTCTCGCACGGTGGAGATAAAAATCTGGTTTTTTTTTTTTTTTTTTTTTTTTTTTTTTTTTTTTTCGAGAAGTGTTGCTACTGTTCGCTTTCAAATCGTAGAGTTTGTTAATAAAAAATCTCTAAGTTTTACAACAAAATAAAAATAGCAATGACAAACATTAAATACATTATTCCCGATTCCAAAAATTCTTGGGAAGCCATTTCGTATATTCCCAGCTTCTTACTATTTAATCAGCCGAAATATTAATTAAAAACTCTGAAAGCGCTAATTTTCGCACTCATTTTTACGAGTGGCAACAGTCTGGAACTTTGGAGATAAAAATGGTTTATTTCGAAAAGTTGTTATTGTGCGCTTTCAAATCGTAGGATTTGCTAATAAAAAAAATGCAAGTTTCACAAAATCTGTATTTATAAAGAATAATGCCTTTTTGTGTGTTTGTTCATTTGTTCGCGTTATTGATTGCTGATCCATTATGTTACATTTTTTTTTGCCACATTTAACCGTCTAAAATTGATATAGGTGAAATATTGGATGGAACCTGAGCCTTTATGACCACTTAATTAGAAAGACGAAAATCGTTAAAAACTGCGTGCCATTGTTGGGGATATAATGAGAGTTTGTTTATTTTTCTACTGAAATTTTTTATGCGGCTTTCATATCGCATCAGATTAAAAATTGTATGACTATGAATCGTATTCTTTGCATCGTTATTAGAGCAGTATTACAGCGGTATCGTTCTGTATGTTCTTAAATACATTACTCTCAATCTAACGTAAGTGGCATCGAGTACTTTCGCTAGTTATGTTATAAGTGAAAATAAGCCTTTTCATAAATAAAAGCAGTTAATTTGGATATAAAAATGTGCATGCAATTACGATATTTTCCGGCGTATGTCTCGCACAGGTGTATAACCCGCATCTGTGATTTCAAGCTACCTTTTATTAATTTTTAGGTATATTCCTAGTATAACGCGCCCCATTTCTTCACGAAGAAACCTAAAAGATACATCTGCAATGCTTTTATCGTTTGAGAGTTACGTATTCGAACATTTTATCATAGCCTTTTGAATTATAGTAAACCGCATTGACAAGAGATAGAGGGAATAATATGTGTGTGGGTTAAATGCTTGAGAGAGTAAATATTTCGGCAAAGAGGGTGGATTGTATTTAGTGCAGTTGTCCAACAGAATGCTAGTGTAAAGCATTTCCAATATGAATAAATTCGGAAGTTAGGAATTAGATGTTTTCTCTTTCTGTAGTCATCTGAAGTCATCTTAATCTTCCTTATAGTAGTAAATATGGCTCCTTATAGTAGTAACTCCTTATAGTCCTTATAGAAATTCCTTATAGTAATAAACATGGCTCCTTATAGTAGTTAGTCCTTATAGAAGTTCCTTATAGTAGTAAATATGGCTCCTTATAGTAGTTAGTCCTTATAGTAGTAAATATGGCTCCTTATAGTAGTAACTCCTTATAGTCCTTATAGAAATTCCTTATAGTAGGAAATATGGCTCCTTATAGTAGTTAGTCCTTATAGTAGTAAATATGGCTCCTTATAGTAGTAACACCTTATAGTCCTTATAGAAGTTCTTTATAGTAGTAACTCCTTATAGTCCTTATAGAAATCCCTTATAGTAGTAAATATGGCTTCTTATAGTAGTTAGTCCTTATAGAAGTTCCTTATAGTAGTAAATATGGCTCCTTATAGTAGTAACTTCTTATAGTCCTTATAGAAGTTCCTTATAGTAGTAAATATGTCTCCTTATAGTAGTAACTTCTTATAGTCCTTATAGAAGTTCCTTATAGTAGAAAATATGGCTCTCGCGAAAAGAAACCAACACAATACTGGCTTCAAATGCAAAACCACTCATTTTGTGGAAGAAAATATAAATTGTGCTGCAGGAAGGATGTTTGGTGTGGGTGAAAGATATAACAAATAATGAGTATTTACTTATGAACAAAAATAACAATGATGTTGAAGATGAAACTAAATTGGATGATACGCTAGAAGTTATAACGGAAGACAAACATGACGAACTCTTCATGTTATCCGATAATGAAAATGCTTAATTTCATAAGGTATATCATTTCTTTTAAACAAGCAGCATTTTGGTGCATGTAAAAATCTAAATTTTTCCTTATTACTAAGCCATCACTTTTATATCCGACGTACAACGCGCACCCGTAAATTTCCGTCCTATTTTTTGTATTAAATGTGAACATTATACGCCGTAATGTACGGCATTTTAAAATACTGTTTAGACTGGCAGTACTAACCAGTGTATAGAATAACTGATTCTGAAGTCTAACTCTTGATGACATTCAAGAATATGGTTACGGTTATGTGGAAATTATGGCATAACTAAATAGCTTTTATTTTCAGGACAGAGATTTCCGAATCTAAATTAAATTTTTCTAATGGTGCGTATGTCAGAATGTAGTTAGTTGGTGCTGAATCGATATCCTGCTTTTATGCGATATTTTTTAACCTTTAGACATACAAATGCTCTTGTCAGTAAAACAGTAGTGTTTGTTCATGTCTGGAAAAGGGGGTGTCAAATGAATACGGGAGAAACAACGGTGAAAATTAAAGCGACTGAATACCATGAAAGTGAATAAACTCATCGCAAATTGCAGAATACATGCAGATTAGTTTGACTTAGGCAAAACATAATTTTAAATTAAATTTAGCTTTCGTTGAAAACTTCTGTAGACCTTTCATAATCCCTTTCCTTTAGAGGGCTTATATTCAGTATTAGTCTAAAATAAAGAGATATTTCCAATGCTTTATCGTAAAAAGAGTTTTAATAGCAGGCCTGAAATAATTATACGAATAGTCCAGGATATAACGAACATTTTCTCTTAATTTAAAAAAAAACTGCCATTTAAGTTCTTCTGTGCTCTGAACTGGAGTTCTGCATTATCTGGGCCTTTTGAGATATATGGGATATTTTTTACAAAAGTCATTGCATTTTTCTCTGCAACCATACATATCGTAACTGAAAGTTAAAGATAAATTCGAGAATATTTTTGATTATCCGTTTTCGTAAAACAGGAATTAACAGAATAATAGCAGGCCTGAAATAATTATACGAATACCCCCCCCCGGTATAACGAACATTTTCTCTTAATTGTTTTTTGAAATGAAACTGCCATTTAAGTTCTGTTCTTGGAGTTCTGCATTATCTGGGCCTTTTGAGAAATATGGGATAAATTTTACAAAAGTCATTTCATTTTTCTCTGCAACTATACATATCTTTACTGTTTTGCTATTTTTGTGAAATAATATGCTTTTCTTATCGAATTGGATGTAGCAACCCGGATATAACGAACCACACTTCTGCTCTCTTGAACGGGCTTTTAACGGGGTCATGAACGGGCTTTTTTTGCTTTTAACGGGGCTCGACAGTTTTTAAGTAATCCTTCGGTAACACGGACAGGTATCAATGCGATAAATATACTTTTTTTGGTTACACTTCTCTTTATTTACAAAGCAAAAATCGCAGCAGCCCTAGCCAGTAATTTTTTTAAAGATTTTCTAACTTGCCCAAAGGGAAGGAACAGAAACTTGATCCTTAAAGTATCTTCACGAGAGAAAATTACACATTGTTAAAGTCAGACTTTTCATACTTCTTCTCTGCCGAGAGAAATATACGAGAGAGCCATTAACCTCATGATAAAATGTATGTACTCCAAATTATTTAATTTTTTTCCGGCAGAACTATGTTCCTTTCAACCATTTCATGTTACATTATACAAAAAATACAACAATTGCACGTATGATTTCACTAAAGTTATTTACATATATGCAAAATCTGTAAAAATACGTACCTATAATCCAATTTCCTTAATCTGTTGTACAATTTTCTTATAATAATAATCTAGAAAATTACTTTTATGATATGTTTTTCTTCTAACACACCTACAACAAATATACATGTGTAAGGTAGGTGAGGTTTTCATTTCAAAAATGTATTTTCAGTAAATTCGCGCGAAATAGGCTCTCCACAATTATGTTTTCACTTAATGTTATGTCCGTCTGTCTATGCGCATGTACGGGGTGATTGTTTTGTTTACGATAACTTTTATACCAAACTCCCAATTATGCTTTCATTTGAAAAAAATAATTAGATACTGAATAAAAGTAAGCAAGCGCGAGTGGTACTTTATTTGAAGCGTATACGAATTTTAATGAAAAACATATTAAAATAAAAAGTTATAATAAAATCTGAAAGCTTTCAGATTTTACATTACGCCCAAAGGGACATTTTCTTAGCGTTTTGTGTGTTACCTTTATTTATTAAATATCATGTTCTTCGCACTTAAACTATAAAATTGAATTCAACAGCAGTATCGCAAAATAATTTTTAAATGAGCGTGTCTTTAGGATTTCCAATAAACGGTCTCGCGCGCTGGAGATAAAAATGTTTTTTTTTTTTTTTCTTACCCAGTCTTAGCCAGATAAAGAATATATATTTTTTTATGGTGTACCAAAATAATCTCAGTAATTGTTTACGCATTTGTATAAAAGTTGTGTATTGGGAGTTATTCATTATTTTCTTAAATAATATTGTATTTTTGAGGAATGAATGTCCTTTACATAATAGACTAACAATAACATTTTTTCATACTTTGATTAAGGAACATTTGTCATTTAGATATTATATAGAATGGCAAGGTACAGTATATAAAAAATAAGAATCTGAAATCTTTTAGATTTTATATTACTCTCAAAGGGGTGTTTTTTAACGTTTTCTGTGCTACGTTTTATTAAATATCATGTTCTTCGCATTTAACCCTTTGCGGCACATTGTGTCCGGTCTGGACACACCTAAAAATTTCCTTCTGTACGCACAGAAAAATTGAATGAAAAAGGATTTATAGGTTACTTAAGGTTACTCTGAACCTTCTTTATTTATAGTAGATGGTAGCTCAACACAAGCCAGTACATATATTTTAGCCATGTTTAGTTTTTTAAGACCCTCCTTTTTTAAAGAAATCTTCCGGATTTTTTTAGGGTATAAAAGGAATTGTTTGAAAAGAAATTTCTATGTTATTTTTTTGGCTGTATGCTAATCTAGTTATTCTATATTAGTTTTAATTTTTTACCTTGAAATCTTGTCTAAAATAAAACGGCGAACCCTAGGTGTGCCCAGACTGGGCTCACCGATAATCTAGGACAACTGAGATTCGGTATTCTTGGTTTCTCCGCATCTCATCGGTCAGTTCATTGACAACAATGCTCGTTTCAGCACTCTTTTCGAAGCTCTGTTCAATCAGTGTGCCACTTTGGGCACACCCACAGAATTAAAACGATAAGTGCTATCTTCAGAAAACTTTACTTACGTACTCCTCTAGGCCTAATTAGACTGTCCACTTTTTTTTTTTTTTTAAATCAAAAGTCCGACTTTGAAAGGTAGCGTGCCGGAAAGGGTTAAACCATAAAATTAAATAAAACATCAATATCACAAAATATTTAAAAGAGCATATCTTTAGAATTCCGATACACGGTCTCGCGTGCTGGCGATAATTTTTTTTTCTCATACTGTGTTGCCATTGTTCGCTTTGAAATCTTTGGTTTGTTAATCAAAAATTCTTTAATTTTTGACAAAATACGAAGTAAGTAATTAAACAAATTCCAAATTTGCACTGCCAGATGTCCATATTCTAATGGAGGACTACGTTATTCAAAATTTGATGTGTCTTTTTATTCACAGTGCGAGAGACATGCCTATATTCATGCAGATTCTTCATTCTTTAATTTCTTTAAATATAACGCAGGGCTCTAATATTTGGTGGCAACAATTTGAAGAGCGAACCGATGCAAAATTTGAAAACTAAATTAATAGCCCTCTGAGCAAATTTCCCTTTCGGATAAAAATTCTCATGTTTCAGCTTTTGTCTAAAAAAGTGAGGCATTGTATAAAATGTCTGGGTATTCTATTGAGTGCTGGCGTTTAATGCATTACCCTAATATAAATTAGGTTATATACTTTTAAATGTGCCGCACAATTTTAATTTGAACATCCTTTACGTGTATATTATTGTTACTTAGATATACATATAAAATTTTTTATCATTAACTTTTAAAATTGGTTAAACGTTTTCTTCCAGATTATGAACCGGATCTATGCACGTTAAACGGAACAGGTTCTATGATTTCGCAGCGCAGAGACTTTTATGTTTCCGAACTATGTCTGGAAAACGGATGCTTAACGAAAGGTTGATATCATATTTTTATATTTCTATATTCTTAAAAGATTTTACAACAGTTCTTGATTTGCTCCACCCAAAAACTTGTTCTCTTTGAAATGCGCTGTATTTACGCGTCCTCTGAATGAAATAACACACTGTGAAGAATCGTTGCCGCTACCACGAGAATATAGGGTCAGTCCATAAATTCGTGCGCATTTTTTGGTAAATTTTTAAATGATATAAAAAAACACAATTTAACATTTTAATCAAGTCTTCTTCCATTAACTACAATGTCTCGTCATCTTACAGGCAGCGTTTTTATGCCATTGCTGTAGAAAGACTGGTTTTGATGCAAAAAAACTTGAAAGCTGATTGTGTACATCCTGTTTAGAATTTAATTTTTTTTTCCCAGTAAAATATTTTGTAAGGCACGAAATAAGTGAATAATCACTTGGGGCAATATCTGGGGAGTAAGCAGGATGTGGTAAAAGCTTTCAATTAAATTCACTAATTTTTTGCAGCGTTGTTCGAGCCGTATGCAGTCTAGCGTTATCATGACGAAACCGCACTTTTTTGATATTCTCTAATCGTGGGGCGTAATGGCAGACCGCACATTGAGTTGAACAGTGTTAAGCGAATTTCGCTTACTGCGCATGCTTGATGGTGTACCTTTGGCGCGGGGAGAAATATTGGCGACTAAGCAACCCTACGTTAGCTTATTCGTGATCTCCATGGCTGTCGAGTGGTTCGAGTGATGGTTAAACTGCAATGTTGTGGAACTTTGCTTATTAGTTATTTAACGTCCATACCGATTGCACTTGCTTATTTTTAATATATGTTTTCATTTTAATTTGTTATAAAGGGCATTTAATATTTGTTAACATATGTTCGTAATAATTCGTTATTTAAATGTAATTTGTTTACATGTTATAATTCAGTAATTGTAAACTGGAGTATCTCGCGTTAGTTTGTTAGCGTATATTCGCGCTTTTATTTTCTCATTTCAAAGAATTTAATAAACAGCATTAAGGAATTGTAAAATTTCTTCAGTGTTATTTACAAGCACTTGCTTACATTCCTCAGTGTTTCTTTATGTATGTATGTACGTACGAATGGAACGTATGTTAAATCCTGAATTGTCTTTGTTGCTTAAAAGTATAATGAATAAATTTTTAACTAAAATAGCCTAAATTTCAGTCTTTTTCTGAATGAAAATTTGCACAGTTCCAAAGAAATGTGCAGAATTTCATAAGTATTACATCTCACATTTTGAATGCAAACACTGCTTCACATTACTTCGCAATAATTTCAGCTTTCTAGTTGTTTGAGCAGTACAGCAAAAAATAGTATTTTAACACAGTAATTAATTTACATTATACTCTAGGAAGATTTAAACGTCAGATTTGTTTACAATTAGATGGCGATACATCTACCATATACTGTATTTATCTTCTTTTCAAATCGCGCCAACATAGTAATTACGCCAAATTGTTTTCTAGGCATGCGCAGTATGCGACATTCGTTTAACACTGTTCAACTCAATGTGCGGTCTGCCAATACGCAATCGTGGGCGTTTTTTGATCAATTCTGAGTTTAGACGGCAAAGCTGTTCACTATAAACTTCTGAATTAATCGTTTGATTTGGTTCTAACAGTTCAAGACGTCCTGAACGGGGTTCATCATCAATGCTGCTTTTCCCAACTTTAAATATTTTAAACCATTTCTGGGCAGTCCTTACACTAATAGTGTGTTCACCATGTACACTATTAATTTTTATCGCTGCAAACCTGGCAGATTCACCAGACGAAAATAAAAAAATGTAGCACAGCACGTTTGTATTGATTACCTATATTTATCTTCTATGGGTATTAAAATGCGTTGGATATTTACAAAAGTTGGTGATGAAATGAATAATATGTTAGTTAAAAGATGACAAGTTTCAACAGGTTCAAAATTGTATTCTTTTAGTAAATGCGTCATAGTGAATTCCTAATGCGCACGAACTTATGGACTAATGGTAAATGGGTAAGATTTACGTTGGTATGGAAATAATCTAAATTTGATGCCATCCCTCATGGTAACACACCTTGCAGCGGTCTTGAACCGGCAGTCTTGAACCGTTAGTCTTGAACCGGCAGATTTAACTAGAAGTATCTTATTGGATAAAGATCAGTATGAAAATTGTAGGCTGATGCAGTTAAGTATATGGAAGAATGAAGATGCCGTTTATACGCCAGAGACAATGCATTTATGCAATTTATGCATTTGTGAAACATTTAGCGTTTACGTTGCATTCTTGGTGGGGTCCAAGTGAATGGATTATGGCGAAGAAGATACGGTGTCTTCCTTTTTCCGCGATTCGTGTTTCCGCGGTTGTCAAAAACGTACCTTTTTCCGCGAAATCATCAACCCCTTCCCAAAGGGCTTACATAGTGGGCGCCGAGTGGGCCTTGGCCTCTACCGAAATGTAGGAAGGCAACAAATTTTTAGATTTAAAAAGAAGAATTTTTAAAAAAATAACTGAAAAATGTTTACGGTTTCAGATCTTTGCATGAATGGAACTGATACTGTATTTAATCGGACAAAATCTGAATTTTTTCAGAAATAACATAATAATATTTTCCCATATTTCGGTTCTGCGACTAAAATTGTAGCAAAGTGAGAAGTTTTGTAAAAATAACGAGCGTAGTTTTTGACAAAATAGCTCTCAAAATTTTAGCTCCTCCATGGTAATTGAATTCGCCATATATTTATTAATATCTCTTTATTTTAATAAACTTATTTGATTCTTCCTTTCACATTTCGAAAGTTAGGTTCATTGCAAGTAAAATTTGCTCATTTTTTATGATTTACTTTTAAAATTTGTATTTTTAAATAATTTTTATAAATTTTTCGAAAAAAAGTTTGTATTGTAACCTATAACATTTTTACCATCATCTTATAGTAGATGCATTTCTAAACGTAATTACAAAAATATTAAAGTTTTTAGCTTAAAATGTTCCTAAGATATTCGGGAATTTACATACTGGCGCGTTTTAGTGCCTATATAACGCCAAATGCCTATACAACACTTGGCGTTATTATCGCTTATAACAAATATGCCAAGTGTTATATAGGCACTTTGTTAAAATCATTTGAAAATATGAACGATGACCTTCTTTTAGCTCATGTACAATGAAAAAAGAAAAAAAATCGGTTGCTGTAAATTAAGAAGTTCGTCAAGTGAATTAATCTTGGCTCAAACTGACACACACACACACACACACAAAAGAAAAAAAAAAAAAATGCGCGAGATAAATTTTTAAATTTCTACATAAATTTATCACCAAAAATTACAAAATTTAATATGTAGGCATAATTTGAGTCGTAGAATCGAAATATGGAAAAAAAATGGGTACAGTATTTCAGAAAAAGTCCGATTTTGAATCAAAATACCTATGTTAGAACAATCTTATATATAAATGCAATATATATCCTAAGGCGCGTTTTCGAGATAGGGAAAATCTAAATTGAATTTCGACAATTGATCCAATAGAACGGGAGATATAGAACTGTTCCACTTTTTTGCGTGTATGCAAGGTGTACAATATTTCCTTTGTATAGAAAAAAGGGCTAATCCCGGTTAACTACTATGCCCGAACTGGAAGAAATAACAAAAGCTACAGCAAGCGTCGCCGCCAAAACCTCTCTGTTTGAAAACTTTCTTGTAAAGCTAAAAAACAACAGGAAGCGGTTACTGTCTCATTGCTGGAGTACCATCGGAAATCTTTCTAATTCACTTCAATTAGCAATTACGGGACGTTACGTTTCTTAGTATTTATGAAGTGCAAATCCTTTGGAGTGTGGAATAAAAATTAGCATCTCACTGCATTTGTTCCATTGCTAAAGCTTTACATAATATAACTAAAACATGTATGAAATGTTCTGTTTCAGACTCAGAAACATTTACAAACAGGCTAGTTAACGTCGATGACCTAGTATCTAATATCAGAAGCTATTCACACTGCGACGCTTGCTATAATTCCCAGTGTCGCAAAGACGGTAATGTAAAATTTCCTAATTGGATTTTTCTGCTCTGCAAATGAAATTTACTAGTTTTTAAATTTTATATAATTAATTATATAACTTGTTCTTTAAATTTTATAATGTAATTATATAGCTTGTTCTTTAAATTTATAATATAATTATATAACTTGTTCTTTAAATTTTATAATATAATTATATAACTTGTTCTTTAAATTTATTATTGTTATTTTAAATTTTATAATAAATTTATTCCTTCCTTCCTGCATGTCTTCGTAGTGTAAAGGTTAACACACTCGGTGGGTATTTGAGAGTTCCCGGCTTGAGTCCAGGCGAGGAAACTGCTTATGTTTCAAGTTTCCTGCTTCAAAATAACCTAATAACTCTGCAGTGGCACCCGAACTAAAACGGTGATGGATGATGAGTCTTCAGCATCAGGAATTGGCGATTGCATCCCCTAATCCCCGTTCGCCCCTTAAGTATTTTCACCCTGCTGTGTGCATGCCTTCGTTGTGTAACGGTTGGCAAACTCCTCTCCAATATTTTTTAACTGCTGATTATGTTATAAGGTATTTCTCCCGGCTTCTTGCTATGCCTTCGTGGTGTGATGGTCTGCACGCTGGGCGCATATTCCACAGAGGTCCATGGTTCGATTCCCGGAGTTTGCTCATTTTTCAAGTCTCCTGCTTTCAAAAAATCCTAATGTCTCTATAATGGCGCCCGAACTAAAAGTGTGGTGGACGATGACTCTCCACACTAAGAATTTGGCGACTGGGTCCCCTAAAAAATCCCAGTCGTCCTTTAAAAGGGGGAGTATAAGGTGTTTCTCCCGCCTTACTGGCATGCCTTCGTGGTGTGGTGGTCTGCACGCCGGGTGCGTATTCCAGACGTCCATCGTTAAAGTTCCGACTTTTTTTTCATTTTTCAAGTCTCTTGCTTTCAAAAAATTCTAATGTATCTACAGTGACGCCCGAACTAAAAGGGTGGTTGATGATGACTCTCCACACCCAAGATTTGGCAACTAGGTTCCTTAAAAAATCATCCCAATCGCCCTTTAAAAGGGAGAGTATATAAGGTATTTATCCCGCCTTCCTGGCATGCCTTCGTGGTGTGACGGTCTGCATGCTGGACGCGTATTCCACAGGTCCGTGGTTGGATTCCCGGCGAAGGCGTTTGTTCATTTTTTAAGTCTCTTGCTTTCAAAAAATCCTAATGTCTCTACAATGTAAAAGTAATATATACAGAAGATACAGAAAATATACATAAATGTAATGATATAAAATTATTAAAAACAATTATGTTAAAATATTAAAATATCCATCTCTGCTCGAAAATTACATGGAGCTTTTCTGTGCTATGAATATTTCTCTTTCTAATACAATTTTATATTAAGTCAAAACAGCAGTCAAATAAAAATTTCGTAAAAAATACAAGGTTAGCCTAAATGAAGCACTAACTTTAAAAGAAATGAGAGTTTGAATAGCATGACTCATACGGGTAGAAAAACATTTTTTGAAGTTTACATCGCTAAGTTACAAATGGTTAATGCGGTGTTCCTTTTCGAAACACAACAACCATGAATTCGATACTCAAGAAGTTCCCGAATTTATCTCAATATATGTTTAGCGTGTGATGCCTTGTTTAATATATTTAAAAAATATAAGTGGCAACAGTAAGTAATTCATGTATAGCATGTGATGCCTTGTTTAACATCTATAAGATTTGTAGGAAAGGGAAGTCATGACAACTCGATCTTTCATGTATGCCCACTCGGGCGGAAATTCTGGCTTTCCTTGGTGAATGAATACTATGTCAAAGCCAAGTTCTCGTCTGTTCAATGGGCCACTAAAAACCTTAACATTTAAAAAATTATTAAAATGCGTAAACAAACTAGCGTCCAGATGCTAGTTTATTTACGCATTTTAACTGCTTTTTCATTTGCTAAGATTTTTCTTTAATCAAGGTTATAAGTTAAAATTAATAACATTCGTAAACGTTTAGGGAATTATTATCGAATTTTAAAACTAACTTTCAGCGAATAATCATGTTACTTAAGTTATTTATTTCGTCACTTCCTAAGCGAGCAATTTTACTTTTAAAAAATGTAAAAAAATCTGAAAGGTTTCAGAATTTAAATTACGTCCAAAGGGACTTTTTTTAACGTTTAGTGTGTTACCTTTATTTATTAAATATCATGTTCTTTGCACATAAACCATAAAATTCAGTTCAATAGCAATGTCGCAAAATAGTTTTAAAATCAGCGTATATTTAGAATTTCCTATACTCAGTTCCGCGCTCTGGAGATAAAAAGGGTTCCCCCCCCCATAGGGTGTTGCCATTGCTCGCTTTTAAATACTTGAGTTTATTACTCAAAAATTCGTTAAAGTTTTACAAAATATGAAATCGATAATAAAACAAATTGCAAATTTCAAATTTGGTCTTCCACATGCCCATATTTGTAAGACGATTACGTCATTCAAAATTCGATGGCTCTATGTACAGTCACAATGCGAAAAATACACATATGCAGATTTTTCATTACTTAATTTCTTCAAATATAATGCAGGACTCTAATATTTGGTGGCAACAGTTTGAGAAGTGATTTGCTGTTTATAGTGATTCAAAGCAAAATCGCAAAATGAAAACAATAGTTCTTCAGGGACGAAGGGAAAAATCCAAAAATTGCTAACACAGAAGCAAGCATTTATATGCCTTCGGAATCGTCTCTCCCCGGGGTGCTCTCTCTCAAAATTGGGGGGGGGGGACAAAGTCGGGGTGTCGCCTATATGGTGCTCAAGGCTCTTGCCAACGACAGGCTCATTTGACTCCTTTTCACGATGAATGTCGTGTGCTTGTGCTGACCATTGTCAGATAAGTGAGATTAGTAACAATAGCAAACATGTATAGTGTGAGTCGTGTGCTTGTGCTGACCATTGTCAGATAAGTGAGATTGGTAAACAATTGGAAACATGTATAGTGTGAGTCGTGTGCTTGTGCTGACCATTGGCAGATAAGTGAGATTGGTAACAATAGGAAACATATATAATGTGTTGCTTGTGCTGACCATTATCAGATAAGTGAGATTGGTAACAGTAGCAAACATGTATAATGTGTGAGTCGTGTGCTTGTGCTGACCATTGCATGATAAGTGAGACCGGTAACAATAGCAAACATGTATAATGTGTGTGTCGAGTGCTTGTGCTGACCATTGCCAGATAAGCAAACATGTATAATGTGTGAGTAAAACTTTTTATTAAGTTGTTTTATGAATGATCAAAATTACAATATCAAATTCTGTGGTGACAACTGGGACATTAATCGTTGGATATGCACCGAGATTTTGATAAAAGAAATCCTGCTTGTGAGATTTTCAATAGAAATATTAACGAATAACCAATATCCACCTCTCAGATTATAGAGCCTTTCTCTTCTTTCCCACACACACTAGAATAGACCCTATAATGACCTGGCGAATTCTCGCATAGGCGTGAATAAAACTACTGACTCAGACGAAGGGTAAAAATAACCCTTTATTATTTCAAATAGTTAACAGAAAGGCACGGTCTTCGTGCGCTACAAAAACACCGTTAACTTACGCTGAAAACTAAAACGTAGAATATAATTTAAGTAAAACCTAAAATAAATAGTACAAGATAGCACTTAAGTTACGCCTAAGAGGGGTACTCACAGAAACCCAACCGGCGTGATACTAAGTCTGAAAGGGCTAAGAATCTTAGTAGCTTAACAGGGAAATAACAACGAAACGTGCGCTTGGCTAGCGAAATACTCTTTGAATAAACTGAGAGAGCCACCCGTTTAAATAAGCACTTTACTTAACTTTATATTTACAGCCTGGCGAGAGTGAGGGGAAGTTGAGAAGTCTAGAAAAGATATCAGTGCGGGAGACATCTCTTATATAAAATACAGGTCATGGTCTCTTTACAACTGTATGTATATCCATTTAACAATTGTGCAGTAATCTCTAAAATAACATCGGTGTCTTCTAGCTGTGCTGATATTAATGATTCATAATGCTCCAGTAATTTAGAATCGCAACTATAACTTAAAACTGGCTGAAACCGGAGAAATTATCCTTTGAAACTGACATTTTTTAATTATCTTTCAGCTTTTGAAATAAAAGACAATTTAGATGAGGCTGTGAACCCATGTGATGACTTCTATCAATTTGCCTGCGGTGGATGGCTGAAAAGAAATACCATTCCCGAGAACGAATCTTATGTTTCAGTTTATTCAAAACTTGAAGATCGTATCTCACACCAACTCAAGAGTAAGAAAAATGATTTTTGCACCTCAAACTTGTAAGGATCCTAAGTTTTACTAACGTTTATTTTATTTTAAATCTTTACTATCACTTCTTATTTTCTACTTCCAGCCAGAATTAAAAGCTTTAACTTATTTATGCAAAATTTGGCTTGCTAACGTAAAGTACTTATGTTGTGGCTTTTTGCCAAGCAAGAGAGAGAGGAAGGAGTTATTAGAAGCAGGCCGCTTGCCATAGTAGTTTTACTCGGTTGCTGGTTGCCTTCAAGGACAGAGGTTTAATCCTCTTGATAATTTTAAACGTATCGTAGTGTTAGCAGCTCTCTGTACTACATACGGCTTTTGTTAAATAAACGGCCAATCTTGAAGTTAGGCACTTGTATATTAATCTAAAGTTAGTTTTAGTTAGAGTTTTTAGTTAGTATTTTTATATTCTTACGTTCAGACCACAAGTGGTTGGTCTCTGTATTCCGAAGTTCCGGAAATCGCTGTAAAGATAGAAAAATAAAGGGTTTCGTATACCCTTCCTGTGTGTATTGTCTACTTCACAAATTATTGAACATAGCTTTAGTAAGCTCCCTGTTCCGAGTCAGGACAGTTCATGTTTCCAAAGCAAGTAAAGAGGAACACAAGTCCTGATAAACTAACGAGATAGATCAAGATTTGAAATTTTAAAATTTTCTCCGAAAAGGAACAAACTCATTCCTTTTTCTAAAGTCTTATAAGGTATTTTCTACCTTCTTCCAGCATGCCTTCGTAGTGTAATGGTCGGCGCGTATTCCAACCCGTACACTAGAGGTTCAGGTTTGAATCCCGCCGAGGCTTGAATGCCCACGAATTTTGCATATTTTTCACATCTGCATCAAAAAACCTATTTACACAACACTGGTGCCCGAACTAAAAGGTGGGGAACAATAACGCGTCACATCCAGGATTTGGCTAGTGGGATCTCCTCATCCCCAGTCGTGCTTTAAAAGGGGTAGTATATAAAAACATTTTCTCCGTCCTTCCAGAATTCCTTCGTGGTGTAATGGATAGCATACTCGATGCATATTCGAGAGATCCGGGTTCGAATTCCAGCGAGGGCACTACAGATTTTTCACATCTCTTGCATTAAAAAAAAAAAAAAAAAAAAAAAAAAAAAATTAATGACTCTACAATGCTTCGAAATAATTTGGTTCAGGTAAATGTGAGGAATACTAAGTGGGCCATATATGTATATACATTTTAAGAATGGCAGTTTCCTGTAGGTAAAATAATTTTTTGCGAAATTCTGCTCCTTGCTATGGCGGTTAAAGTATTTAAATAAAAATGACCACGAAATGTTTATGTTAAGACAAGGAATTGGGAAAAAAAGGCTAAATAACTTTAAAACGCGTCTGAATATTAATTTGACACTTCTTTGCACCGAAGTTTAATACTTTAATGAAATCACAAGTGGAATGAATTTTTCCCGCATTTTCTGAAATCACACCTTTGCTGAAGGTTTTCGGTAATTTGACGCTGTCTCAAATTTGATTAAATATTTAAGTAGCTAAACTATGTTACATAATTCAACGTCTACAACAGCAATCAAAATTATACATCGCTCTTTATATCTGCCGACAGACGCATTTACAAAGTTCAAATAAGGATACAGGATTAGCTGTAATTTGATGGTTTACAAGCTAAAAATATCTTTTATGGTTTTATTGCAGTGACTTGTTTCTCATTTTACATTTCACAAGGAATTCGTCACATAATATGTTGAATAATATTGCATAAGGTAATGGATTATACGGTCTTAACGAATATTTTGACCAGTGAGAATACATGATCTATTTTACTTTTGAAAACTCACTTTCGACTCAGTTTTTTTTTTTTTTTTTTTCCCTTTTTTTTTTTTTTTTTTACTTAACATGTTCTGTTCATTCGTAAGCAGCAGAATTACTTTATAGGTAAATTTAATTTTATTATAAAAGAATTGGTGCTACTTTGGTAGACGGTTGCACGGATTTTGACGTTTTTTTTGTGACGAGAGATACGACTTATGGTACACCTATTCTGGAGAAATTATTTTTGGTAACCGATACTTTGTTGTCCTTTTATTTGAAAAATAATGAGTTTTATTATGCATAAATTCCGTGTTTTAAATATTATTTATGGCTTCTAAATATTAAAAATCAATTTAATTTTGCACTTTTATTTGAAATATAAATTTTATTATTTATCATATTTTATATAATTTTATGTGTGGATGATGAAATCAATGACGTCACCTTATTTTAAAAGTAATGGTTTTAATATGTATAAATTTAAGTAATATTATTAAAAATATAAAATTATTAATTATTAATTAAATATTATTAAAATTATAAATTTAGTAATATTAAGTTTTAAAATTAGTTATTTAAAACTTATTTTAAAAGTATTTGAGTTTAACTAATATTTCTTTTAAAAGTTGGTATGATGTTTTTAATTCGATATTCAATTTAAGTTATATTTTAATCTAATGAATCTTTGGCGCAATGTTTTTATAGCGGGATTTTTATTCTATTTCTTTGCTAACTGAAAGTAATAATTTAACCTTACTTTAGTACATTATACTCGTAGTAAATGTACTTATTTACATTTGCCTGCCATATTAAAGAGCGACGTTTTCAACAAAAATTAATGCATTATTTTTAACGATATTTATTTTTTTTTTTTAAGTTTCGAATACTTCACTATGCGTAAAATACGTAAAAACAGCGTTTTTCAAGATGGCTGACGATTGTAAAAACCGCGCCAACAATTGCGCCAACGTAAGTCGCCAAAAATCCGTGCAACCGTCTACCAAAGTAGTACCAAGGAATTAATACTCCCCATTTCGTAAGCAGCAGAATTACTTTACAGGTAAATTTAATTGTATTATAAAGGAATTAATACTCCTTCTTTCGTAATCAGCAAAATTACTTTAGTATAGCTAAATTTAATTTGATATTTAAACCTACAACATAATGATGGATGCAGCCTATTGAGATGAAATTTGCATATTAATTGGAGGAGCAGGAAAATAAGGCATAAGTAAATAATGAGCCTCTCTTACTCCTGCCACTTAGTTTTCATTCATGATTAATATAAGAGAGAATATCAAAAAGCGATGTTGACTAGAAATCATTTCGATGTAGTAGCTTTGAATAGGAGGAAAGAGTGAACATTGAGTAAACATACGGAACCCATTGTTAATATGTTCGCAGGTTTGATCGTTAGAGAATAAAAGTGTGCCTTCCCTGTCAGTAGATTGTCCTACCGCCATTTGCTACACCGCCAGCTGCTACACGCATTAGTTGAATCAGAGGAACGTGCAGCATTATATTGCTACGAATTTTGAACATGAATTGACGATTTTACTGAATTATATGTGAAATTGTTGTATTTTTTTGTGTAATGTAACGCAAAAAATCTAAAGCGAGAAGCTATGCCGGAAAAGTAGCAATACAGGGGCAAGTCCATTTAACATTGAGTAAATGAGTATCTCGGTAATTTGGCGAGGTATCGCCAAGCTGATAACGGTTTTTGGTGACTTATTTGACTCCGAATTTGGCGATAAATCGCCAAAAGTCGCCAGACTTGGAGACCATTAGTCCGGTCTCTGTATTACTGTAAATGGTATTGTAATTAAGTAAAAGTAATTGATCACTATATTAGCTGCAACCTTATGAGCTTTATATTGCTTGTGTTCATTTTTGTTAGCAGTTTGAAGTCTAACTACTGATTGTACTCTGCGATTCTGTTAGAACTTTGAAGTGTTTCATCTGATAAAACAAATTTTATTAACCTATCATCAGACTTGTGTGCGTACAATATGTTGCTAAACCATACGCACGAAACTATATATTGCTTGGTCATGCTTGTCCTTTATAGGTCATGCTTGTCTATAAGAATATATTTCCTTTCTAGTGTAGATGATTATTTGTTCGAGGTGCATTTCTCTTTCGAGAAAGTAAATTATTTACTTGAACTTACTTTACAGAAATAGGAAATCTCATAACTTGAAGACAATGAGCAGCTGAGTTTATCTCGCAGAAACATCAACAGAATTTAGACACGAAACGGAAAAAGCTAATGTTGTTAATGTTGGCAGCGAAATACTACAGAGAATTAAAATATTCTTAGATATATTACGTATAAGTGATTCCATCTTACTTTCCTAACAAACCAACTCATTACCACACCTTAATCCTTTAAGAAAAGAATTTACATGTTGTATGCTATATATGCAAAATTTACTCAAACATAACAAGTCCCTAAATGCGGAATCATATGTAATTCAAACGTAAAATATTAATATCACCATCAAAAAGGATACACTGTTCACGAAAAAAGACGTGCTTAACAATTCGATAATTTTTATTTGTAAAATTATACACTAAAATACAAGTTTAAAACTAACGCAAATTATCTTTTGAAAAAATTTTAAATGTCGTTGACATTTCTCAAGTACAACTTAAAAAACTATTTTTCCACATGCAAAAAATTAATAATACCTTGTAAGATTCTGTACTGTGTAATAAGCGAATGATCGCTTGAGTTCGTGAGACAGAGAATAAGACGTGGGAGGGTTAAATACTTTTTATTATTCCAAATTAATTTCCCAGAACTCCTTCTTGGAGTTTTACAATAAAGCCTCTACTCTGGCTTGAACTCAGGAAAGTAATAACTTAACTAACCTTAACTAAAAAATATAGCCGAAGCAATCAAAATTCTAACAGAGTTGGCATCTTAACTCTAAATAACAGCGAAGCTATCAAAGGCCTAAGTACGTAATAATAGCTTAAGAGAGAGTAGTCTAAAAAGGCGGACGCGTGCTAGCCAGAATAACTGGTTCTCTCTAACGAAGTCAATAGAACTTCACTGCTAAATACTTCTTGTCAATTAGCATTCAAACACGATTTTAAAACTACGTTCTGGCGAGAAGTTGTAATCTGAAATTCAGGATGACAGGAAACGAACTTCAACTCAAAATTTAACTGTTAGGTAAATTAATATAAACCTTACAATCCATTTATTTAATAATAAGTTTGTAAATTAATTAAGTATAGTTCTGAACAAAATTTTCCAATATTAACAAATGTCTCAGGAAGTTTCTGGCCATAATGTCTTGCATAAAAGAGTTCTTTTCATTGAGCAATAATTTCTTTCGTGAAAGTTCTGGATATCCATTTAGTGCACATCTTTCTGTCACCAAAAGCATTCATAATGCTAAGCACATCTCCTCTTGTCTCAAGCCTGCGTCAGAAACAGGGCTACATATCGGAATGAAATATAATGTTTGTATCGTATTGTGGAGGAACTGTCAACAAATGCCTCCAGAAGTTTCTGGCCATAATGTCTTGCATAAAAGAATGCTTTCCATTGAGCCATTATATCTTCCGTGAAAGTCCTGAATATCTATTTGGTGCACATCTTTCTGTAACCAAACGCATTCACTATGTTAAACACATCTCCTCTGGAACCATCTATGACGTTCTAACATGATACGCATGAGTAATACCTTTATGATTTCGAATCAGTTCATTCAAGCTCTTAGTTTTGCATCTGTTCTGTTTCTCGACTGGTCTCAAGAGACTGCGTCAGCAAAAGGGCTATATATCTGAATGAAATATCAGTAGCGTATTGCGCAGGAAAATGAACAGGGCAGTAGATTGAAGCCACCCAGATGGTATAGTGGTTAGTGGAGCCGATTGCTATACCATGGGACACGAGTTCGGATCCTGGAGAAGGATGGTTGTAGCTCTCCGTCCCTTCTTAGCAAGCAAAGGTGGCCTATCTATTAAGTATCACCTTAATAAAGTGACCACAAATTATAGCCTTAGTAGTGGCTAAGCCGTAGTCGGTTGAAGGGTTGCCATTGGGAAAAAAAGATTCAGAACGCTTTTCATATAAAAAAGAGTCACGTGCACGAACATATCTCTCTAAGTCCAATGACATTTGATATGCAACTAGCTACAAATTATAATTGCCGTGTAGGCAATTTAATACTAAAATTATAGTGACGTCATGAAACTGAAGAGATCTGGCTGTAATGCAGCAGTTTACTTGTCAATTTTATGGAAAAAGACTGTTTATAGTGGTATTATTTGCAACAACATATTTAAGAATTATAAGAAGATTTTAACATTCCAAAGGCGCACGATGTGATTAAATATTTAACCACATTTCAGATATACTCTATGTGCTTAGTTTCATGGATTTGAGAATAAGTATCGATTATTAGATCTAATGACGTTAGATCAGAAGAGCTATTAGAAAGGCATTTTGCGTGGAATCACGTTAAATGTTCTAATCACTTTTCAAATTTTTGTCACAAAATATTATCTCATAGTATTTAAAGAAACTACATAACGAAGAATCTACATGCATATACGTATGTTTCTCCCATTGTGGAAAAACAACAGTACCTAGAGTCATCAAATTTTGAATAACATAGTCCTCCACTCGAACATTGGCACCTGCAAGCCGGAATTTACAATTTGTTTTATTGGTTTGTTTCATATTTTGTAAAACTTTAAAGAATTTTGATTAGAAAAATTCAACCATTTTAAAGCAAGAAGTGGCAACATTGCGAAAAATTATGCATTTTTAGCTCTACCGCGCGAGACTTAATAAGCGAATGATCGGAAATTCTTAAGATATGCTGTTTGTAAACATTTTTAGCCCAATGTGCCGTTAGCCCAAATGCTCTCAAAATGTGTATGTGTCTGCAAACGAAAAAAAAAAAAAAAAAAAAAAAAAAAAAAAAAAAAAAAAAAAAAACACCACCCGTTTGGACGTATCTGAAACCTTTTGCAAAACAAATAAATGATGATATATAGGAAACCCTCTATAAAACGACCAGCTAAGTTAACATGGTACTCTGACGGCCTTAATCGGAGATCATGACATTTTACATGGAAAGAATTTATATGGAAAGAAGTTTCAACTTGGAGTAGTGTTTACTTCATCTATCACTTGTTCCCGAGGAGTATCATGTATAAAAACTTAAAATCCAGGGGATACGGAAGGGCCTGAACTAAGAAATAAATAAACTCCGAAGAGTAGATAAACGGAAAATAAGTATTTATTGTGGCTGCTGTAAGTGGCGGTAATTCACATAAATCTTGCAACAGCAATTTGCAATTGCATTTCGCAAATAAAGTATCTAATACATCGAACTCTTCTGAAATGTAAAGAAAATAATAAACGATGTATACAAGTCCCATTTCTAATTTGCGTTCGCAATGAGAGCAAACAACGTGTTCAAATCTGTGAAAATATTGACTTAAATCTTGCACTAAATATGCGGCACTAATATAATATAGAGATTTAAACAATAAAGAAGATAAAGTATTTACAACTTCAGAAGAATTATTCATGAGCTCATTTGAGGTGGTCTTAAAGAGGCCATGTTCATTTATATTCTTAAATATATATATTTTTTCAATGGCAGATTGTGAACAGTTACAGTTTTGTAACAGAGTCCGTTAACTAAGGCCAGATTTAGTCTCTTTATTATGGAGGCACCTAAGAGCTGGTCCACCATTGCCTCCTATGAAGGAACGTACAGTTACAACCATGCCTTCTCCGGCATTTGAATCTAAGCCCTTCAGTATCTCAGTCAGGCTCTCCTAACCACTATACCGTCTAGGCGGCATTTTGTAAAACTTTAACGTCATAGAAATATTGCTCGTCTTAAAGTGATGGAGACAAAAGGTTTTTTTTTTAATTTTAAACGTTCGTAATTGGTTACAAAACTGAAATAATCTTTTATCTCAACAGAAGCAAATAAATAAATTTATTAAATAAATAATTTAAAATAATCAGTCGTCAGAAGAAATTTTGATTGATCCACAGATACCAGTATTATTTTAGCTATTGACGTCAGGAACATTGACGAGGTCTATTGACGTCAGGAAAATCTATGTAAACCTATATAAACAAACAGAAGATATATTAACATCCATTTCGATCGTATTGGTATCCATATAATTCTCTCGATACAAGTAAGAAAACCAATAAAAGTCAATATAAACCAATAGCAACTAGTAGAGGGTTCTAACATTGATGATGGTTGCATGGCTGTCAGTTGAAACCAGTAAGAAAGATCCACAGAGATCAATACAAACCGGTAAAAGTTAGCAGAACCCATTACCAGCAGAAAGGTACCGGTAGAGAGTTTTACTGGTTTCTGTAGGGCATTCCTTCCCCGGGGGGGCGACTGGAAGCAATACCGGCGGTCTGGCTAGATCAATATCGAGACAGACTCGAGTTTTGAAGAAACATTTAACAGCTTTCACAGTGATTAGAAGCATCATTTATACGTTGGTAGGTTCAGGCTCGGCAGGGGCCATATGGTACACACTTGTCTAACCCCCAGGAGTCGACGTAGAGAACTCTGCGAAGCTAATGGCTAGGATCTGTACCTAGGCAATCTCGGCCACGGGGGTATAAAATTTATGAACTTGGTGGTTCTGAAGGCTATGGGAAACGTCACTTATTGGCCGGCCTCGAGATCTGGCATGTTCTGAGCGGTGTGAATCCGTAGCCGGGGGGTGATCCCCCGATTTGCTGGGTAACGACCCACTGCGACGGGCTCGCCCATGCAACTGGCAAGTACCAATTGACGACCAGTGCTGCCTAGTGAATTCCAGGTGGTGCGCCGCTCCTCTGGAAGGGTAATCCCCTTGGTTGAACCTCTATGATGTGCCTCAAAAGGGAAGTGGACCTGTACTATGGTTGAGTTGACGGAGCAGAGAATGCCCAAATCTTGTTGTAACCCTTGGTTGTGGGGACGCTACATGGTTAAATTTACAAGGTTTTCCAGGAGGGATTGGCTTCCCCTGATCAATACTGGAGGAGAGACACCTGGACTCTTGCTCTTTTCGGTGACGATTTGGCCACTGACTTAGCTTTGAGCTTTGTATTTACCAGACTTTGCTATTTTCTGTCCCCCTGATTTGATCAGGGGTGGCCTCTTCGGATCGCCTCCAAAGGTTAAGGGTGTTTAACACTGCGTATGGCTTTTATATAGTTGGGTCTGGGTGCCTCTTCTCGTTGGTTCACTGTACGGCATTTTGATATAAGTAAGAAAAATGAGCAGAGACCAATAGAAGCCAGTAAAAGTCAGGAGAAATCCATGGAATTATATGATACGCATAAAAAGTTTTACTGGTTTCTATAGGGCACTTTTAGCAGGGGCACATTAACGGGTAATTTTTTATAGGGCACAATAACGATTTGCAGATTGAAAAGGATTGTAAAAAAGGAGATGCTCGTGCTGTTTCAGTCACATAAACGTTATTTTTTTTTCTAGCTCTCTTAGAAATGGCGACAGGAATCGATCCTCCTTACATTCGAATGGCAAAAGAAATGTATAAGTCCTGCATGGATGAGGGTAATACTCGTTTTGAATTTCTAGTTTTATCATTTAATTATACGTAAATTATGAAAACATAAATGTGTCAATGATTTTGCAGCTAGTCATTCATGTCTAGTTAAATATGCGTCATATTTATAAATGAAACATTTTTAGGAATGAAATTGCTTTCAATAATATCTATCTTGTTTTAATTTTAAACATTTTTCTAACTTCGAGTTTTAACGAAAGTTTCCCGCCACCGCAAATATAGTCTGCGCAAACAGTTAGCGTTGGCGTGTTTAATCGTATTTTGTCAGACAATTTTTGACATTTAATAGAAAAAGACTTGCTTTAGAACACAGTATTGTGAAATTTATAAAAAAATATTGTTATTATTAAGTTCAACTTGTCTGAAATGGAACTTCCAGTTCTGTTGCAAAAAAATCAGCTACAGAATGTCAGCAAATCATGCGTACTGCTTTAGGTACTAATGTTGTTACATGTGACACTGTGAAGGTTTGGTACCAGATGTTGAAACACAAGGACGATGACATTTAAGAAGCAGTGCGCTCTGGCCGGCCTACTGATGTTGATGAAGTCCCCTCCTGCGACAACTGGTGGAATAAAATCAGTATGCAATATCTCAGGAGCTTGCGAAGGAGTTAAAAGTTAGTGGCATGCCCATTAGTCGAGCTATGTATCGCATAACCTTGACGTACAAGTTCAATCGCTTAGATGCCGCATGAGCTGACTCAAGCAGATAGGGACAGACATTGTTCGGACCTGCATTAATCTGCTCAAATATCAACGCAAAGAGAAAACTCTGGACTGGATTGTCACTTGTGATAAAAAGTAGATTTACTTCAGAAACACAGGCTCAAAAGGGGATTCGTCTGCGCCTGGCGAGCCCGTCGGCAGCGTCACAAAGCGCAATTTGACTAACAAAAAGACCATGCTTTGTATCTGGTGCGATTTCCGTGCTATTACCCACAAAGAGTATCTGAAAAAAGGTAAAACCACCTCGACAGTAAAGTGTACAGCGAGATACTAGTGCGTGTTGACGCTGCTATAAAGGAAAAACTTTCTAAATGAGTTCCAGAGCAAAAAGGTAATGTTCCATCAAGATAATTCAAGACCACATTCAGCGGTTGGACTCTGTATGGACACGAATTCGATCTTTTGCCCCCTCCACCATATAGCCCTGATATCGCTCAATCGGACATCTACCTTTTTTTTACACAGCAGCTACGTCTTGCCGGTGCTATCTTCCAATGTGCACATGACGTTCGAAATGAAGTTGACCTGTTTTTGGACTTTCGGGCACCAAGTTTCTGGGCCGAAAGCTTTAAAAAGCTACCAACACGTTGGCAGAAAATCATAGATTTGAGTGGTAATTACTACCCGCACCAAATGTACTGCTTTCATGTTTTTCTTGCTACTTTATTAAAAACCTTTTTTTTTTTTTTGGCAGGAAACTTTCGTTACAACCCAATATTTATTTCACCATGTGAAAATGTGTGAATCAGCTAATTAGCTTAAATTTACACTGGTGTGCAAAAATTAAGGACGAGACGGTTTTTTCAATATAACTTTGTACAAAAGCTTTCCAAATCAACACATTTAATACCGTAAGATCCCCAATACGTAAGGACATGAGTAATGTAAGCAACACTTACTAAAAGAGAAATCAGAGGGATAAAAAGAAGCTTTATTGAAAAAGTAGCATGGAGTGCAATGAGACTGAAGGCCGAAACATCCCTGTGATGGGTGTCCAGCAAGAAACATCCGGTCTTTAATAGGGGATATGATCTCCCCTGACTGCTAGGCAGGTTTCACAGCGTCTGCCCATGCTGAGAATGAGGGTGTCAATGAGTTGTTGCGGCATTGCTGCCCATTCGTCTTGCAGCGCCAATCGAAGCTCCGGAATCGTTACTGGTGGTAAGGTACGAGCTGACAAGTGTCTGCCTAGAAAATCCCATACATGCTCGATGGGATTGAGATCCGGAGATCGTGCCGGCCAATCCATACGTTCAATATCCTCCCTCTCTAAGAACTGTTCGGCAGCTACTGTGCGATGACATGGTGCATTGTCGTCCATGAAAAGGAACTGCGGACCCATACCGCCTCTAAAAAGACGCACATATGGAAGAAGAATCTCGTTACAATAACGGGTCCCGTTGACTGAACCTGCGTCGAAGATGTGAAGGTCTGTACGACTACCAAGCATGATGCCTCCCCAAACGAGAACACCGCCACCTCTATACCTGTCCCTTTCAATGATGTTCGAGAGATGATTGCGGCTTCCCCGCTCTCTCCAGATGAGTATGCGATGAGAATCGCTAGTCAGACTGAATCTGCTCTCATCTGTAAAGAGTACTCGTCCCCATTCATTGTCTCTCTAATTCCGGTGTTCCCGGCACCACAGAGAACGTCTTCTCCGATGGGCAGGCGTTAGAGGTACACACCGTACAGGGCGTTGTGCAAACAGACCACCACCGTGCAGTCTTCTAGCCATGGTAAAACGCGATATCGGTCGTCCAGTCGCCTCTGTCGTGTGTCTAGCGATTTCTCCCGCTGTCTGCTGCCTGTTTCTTCTGGCCTGTAAGGCAATATACCGGTCATCTGCGGGTGTGGTTCCTCGTGGACGACCACTTTTAAACCCCCGGATAGCTGTTCCTGTAGTTTGAAATTGTCTCCAAAGTCGTGAAACGATGCTGTGAGCTATTCCGAACTCTGCAGCCACACTTGTCACACTGCGGCCTTCCTCCAACTTCCCAATGATTCGACCTCGGGTAAAAGCATCCAGATGTCGTCTAACAGATTGATTATTCGCCATTTCTCGCTGAGGCAGCAACTCGGTGTGATTTTAACTGCTATACGGCGTGCAATCTCTTTGCCAGAAATACTGATCTTACACCGACAACATGCTTTATACTACTCAGACACTCCCCCATTACGTCTACCTGCATATCTGCGCATGTGCTACCGTACATCACCTTACTTAATCTCCTGATTGGTCTTTCTGTCCGCTCTGCCTCTTCATTCAGCTGATATGCTAATTTTTCGACTTCGTCCTTAGTTTTTGCACACCAGTGTAATATGAAATACACATTCCTAGGAGGGGGAAACCGGGACGAAATTTTTGGCAGCTAACCATGTTATTGATTTATAATTGTCTGCTTTATAATGTGCAATGGATCACTAACTGAGAGTAATTGAGAAATTTAAACAATTGAACGAAAAATACATGACAGATGTGAAAGAAATATCAAAGATATTGGTTCAAAGTTAGGATTTTGTAGCTTAAGTAGATAAAATAATGCTTCCAAAATTTTCTAAAATGTGCGTGTGTGTAAGATAAAAAATATTGTTACGTTTTTTTCTTCACACCTCCGTTACGTACGGGGGTTCGTGGATTTCCAGTGAATAACGAGAACAGCACTTGATAAAGAATGGAAACACAATTTATTAGTCAGCATCATTCAAGTCATTCAAAAATTACGTTTTAAAGTCGTCGAAGAACTACTATAGACACGCTGTAACAATCAGCGACATAGCCTTCAGGCAATTGGGCTATAACGGTGGAGACACTTCACGGCAAAGTACCACAGTATAGCTACCGACTCTGCTCCGTCGTTCTCGGAGCTCCACGCACTCTCGAGACTCTCCACGCTACAATTCGCGATGCACTAGAGCACAGCTCCCGACTCCTCGGTTCAGTCGTTTCCGGAGCTCAACTCACTCTAAGATCAAACTCGACGATGCACTAACTCGCGATACACTAAGAGACTCTTTCGGTGCGCTCGACGACCAACTCGGCACTAGACTACGAGACACTGGCTCGTTGACCGACTATCAACTCCATCAACTGTACGCAAACTCTTCACGTACCAGTAGGGTTTATATAGCTTTTGGCTTGCGTTCAAGAACATTCTGGGCTGAACCAGTAAGAAATCGTGCCAGAAGGTTCTCCATCCATCTATGGCATGCGCCACTTTTGTCGCCAAATTGGTGATTTCTCTCCAAATGCGGTAATCCTGCCTTCCCTTGACATTTTCTGGCAAACCTAAGCCTGCTTTGCGGGAAAACTATCTTACCGCGCCTGGACATTTCGTAGCAATATATATAATGCGATTTACAGTAGTTCTTTCACTGTCTATATTATCTGTTTCCTCCTTTTTGTTTTAAAAAGTAAGTACTTGTGCTATCTAGTATGTTTTGCCATCATAAAATGGTCACTAGATTTATTTGAATATTGTGAATTCTCGCACGGGAGTGAAGATGAAAACAAAAGAAAAAGGGTATGAAGGACTCTTTTTTTTTAATTCCTACTATTAGTTCCCACTGTCCCTATATCTTGTTCAAATTTTCAATCGTTGATAAAATATTTGATGCCTTAGTTGCATATTCTAGTGTTCAGCAGGAATTTATCCTGCTCTTACCAGAGCTTATCACGGAATCTCACTAGGCGCCTCACACATAATGGCTCTTCATCATTGTTTCACCATAAAGCTGTGAACACTTGAGATTAATAAAATGGGACACGGTGTCTCTGCAGACTCACTTTCGGTGTGAGTGTGATGAGCTGAAGTCCAAACAGGAGAGAGAAAATAGTCATTTGAATCCTACTACGCAAACGTCAAAAGTAGTAAAGTCCCGAGTATGCTTTTCAATGCAGTTAATTTGAGTGAAATACTCCTAGTATGCGGGCTGGGCGGAAGGCTGTCTGGTGCTGTCATGGCTATGCATTTTCTGACTTGCGTGAATGAATGCTGCGTAGGGCCTGATATTTCTGTCCTCGTCGAGTCTTTCATAGGCAAAAATTTCCGAAAGGCAGTCTGACGTATTTCTGATGGCCTTGTCATAAAATTTTGAGTTTAGTCTGTGCGGAAACTCGGAGATGAGCTCAACTTTGAGGTCATCGCGGAAATTTTTATTTCGTACACAATACGAGGCTCCGGTGATAATTTTGAGAATCTTATTCTGTATTATCTGAAGAGACTGGATATCTTTTCGCTGACATTTGTCCATGTTGGTGAGGCATATGTAAGTATGGGCCGAATAACAAAAAGGTATATATGCCTTTATAAAAATTTTTTTTGATACTCTTATTCCGGGCTGCCGCTGTTGAGCTCTTATTCATCCACTCAAGTTCAAATACATTTTTTTAACTTGTAGTGGATGACACTTGATGTCAATACAGTTTTTCTCACGTATTAAAGATAATTAAAATTTAAAATTTCACTTATTTAAAATTCCACATATTTCACATATTAAGACTTACAAATAATGACCGTTTATCAGGAATTCTCACGTGCTGTAAAAATCAATTTTATAACAACTTATGGATAATAAATAGTACATGACTGTGATAAATAGGATTGTAATATTTAACAAAAATAAGTGGCAACAGTAAGATTTTTAAAATGAATGGAATTGAAGAATTGTAGTTTTATAGAGTTGGATGAAGCGGATGTAATGTCCCATTATGTGGCAAAAATTCTCATAAGTAGGAATTGGCTTAATTTTTTTTATATTACTTCTTTATCCCAAACTAGTTAACAGGTGCCACGAATTTACGTGCTTACAACCAAAACACCGTCCATTTGCGGCGAGAACGTAAATGATATGATGTAACAATAAATTTAAAAGGTTACGATGTAGAGCAAGACTACACAATTCAATTTAATTTAACAAGCTGAATCAGAAACGTATAATGGCGATATATTTATTAACTAGACATTTAGAATGCATAGCCGTTGCTAAGATTAACAGCTGGAGGACAAAATAGCAAACGTGCTTCTTTCACTAGCGAAATCACATTCTCTGTCTAACCTTTCCGCTCCAATAGATTAAATACTCTGGTTCATCTACTTCTTTTGCATCCTGGCGAAGGAATGCCAGGGAAAATAAGAAAATTTAGGAACTAATTTAACTCTTAATAAAACTCATTAGGATCTTGCATGGTGATAATAAACCCCGCTTATTTTAAGATTAATGGTCCTGTGATACTTGCATAAGATTGCTTGCATAAGATTACTTACATAGAGCTTCATCCAATAATAAATTTAAATTAGGGAACCGAATCAAAAAATAATTAAACAGAAACGAAATCGTTTTGAACAGGAATTTAATTTTAGACACATCGCTATCTCTCTCTGACCTCTCCCTGTCGACTGGCTTGCTGTTTGCTATTGTTTCCTCCATCGAAATAAATTATCATAAATATGTAGACAAGGTACAAAGTCACCAAGAGCAGGCCCATAGATTGCGACCATTGCAGAAGGTAATTTATGTTAAATACGAGCTTCTTAGGAATAGAACGAGCTGAATTGATTAATGTCTGCAACTATGTTTTAATGCATCCACGTACCAGCAATTTCAAAATTATGCATAAGAGGAAAATATGTAAATCAAAATTCTAATTCGGGTCCTTAGTTCTTTGATTCTCTATCTTAATTCGGTTATTTACCTTTTCTTCTCAAAAAATATTAATTGCTTACAATAAATCGTTCTGAACTGAGTTATTTCGATACTAATGAATGTGACACTAAGACTCTGACACAAAGCTAATGACGCAAATACTTACGCAAGACCAGTCCATAACCCTTTCAAGTTTGGGAACCGAAATTTAATGTTAGCCAGTAAGCATAAAAATATTAGCCAGTAAGGATAATAATATTAGCCAGTAAAGGAAAATAATATTAGCCAAGTAAGGATAATAATATTAGCCAGTAAATTTAATATTAGCCAGTAAGGATAAATCTAAATTGAAATTAAATAATTCTAAACTTTGTTTTCATCTCCAATCTCCAATACATCGCATTCTTTTTCTTTTTTTGCTACTGCCAACTTGCTGACGCGTGCTGCTCCGTTTCTGAGTTTTTCCAAGTTTTTGAGGTGCTTTATATGTAACCATAATGTACCATAATGTTTTGTACAACGAAATTTTAAAACTGGCAGGTTTTGTCGTTGCTTTGACCACTATATTTCCTCTTTGCGTTTTTTCTCTCAATTTGTGGAACAATTGTCCCTCACATAGCTTCCTTTGCTAGGTTTTTTTCCAGTAGTCTTTTGGCGCACACTTTATGTCACCACTCACAAAATTTTTAGTTGCTCAAAACAGATTGTCTTTAATTTATCTTCTATGCGCTCTCATTTGTAATGGATTCTCAGTTGTTGCTCTAAGATCTTTTATTTATCTCCCAAACTTTATCCGACTGTTATTGCTTAAAAATCTAAGCATCAGTTGCCTTGCTGAGTTCTTTCTTTTTATACAACCTGCAATTAAATTCTTAATTTTTTTCTGTAATGCATATAGTTATGTAATTTAGGTTATTACCAAATGAGAATTTCAGTGAATATTTGCAGCTTTGCTTTAATTAATAAATATGTTCCTAATGCCATGTACTACGCAATCCATATAGAATAATATTTTTCTTTTTAACTTCCTTGTACGAAGAAAAGGCAGTACTGTAATCACAAAAAATTCCGAGTATCATATTTCAAAGAAAATATCCATTTTGACCGCAATCGAATGCAATTTAACGATGTTTTCGCGTGGCATCTGTACTTAAGGACAGAATAAAGGAGTGTTTTTATAGAGTTATAAACGAATTATAAAACTGATTTAAAATGTATTCAGAAGAGATTTTTTTCGTGACGTCTGTACGTACGTATGTATGTATGTGTCTCGCACAGCTCAAAAACGAGTAGCCTCAGAACGGTGAAATTTTGCATATAGGACTGGCTATAACATGTAGCTGTGCGTCTCCTTTTTTGGTTGCAATCAGCAGGACTAAAATTATATAAATATCTATATATATATATGCCCGCTCTGTTACTCGGCTCAGTCAGCGCAGATTTTTTTATTCTTATATGTTGGTAAATTGTGCAATGTTTGCTTTAAAACTGATTGGATTATGTTTTTCTTAGCTTCCGGTTAAGGTTTTTATACCTTTAGTTAATCTGCATGCAATAGTTATAGAATTATCAACAATTTAAAAGTTGTTTAAGTTTGAGTAAGCCTAACGGAGCAGCCATTTGTTTGCACTTGAAACTTAGCAAAAAATGTTAAGTCTTTTTTGCACCTGTACTGTGTTTTTGCCGAGTGGAAACTTTCAGGTTTGTGGTCCAAGAAATCTGCTTTCTTGCCTTTTCGCCGAATTGCTTGTGTCTGCGTAGAAACTGTAATTTTAAATGTTTTAACTGTATTTCTGATGTTTTATGTTCTTTCAATTTTTAATGGAGATATTTTGAGTTTTTATGTATTTTTGCATTGCCGCGAGGTAAGAACTGAATTAATTGAATGAGAAGTACATCTGTAATGAAATTCGAGGAAATACGTTTAAATGAAACCCAAGAAAAAACGCGTATAATTTAATTATCCATACGGAAGTCATGTGGTGTACACATCAGATTTTTAAATAAAGCGAAACAAATTTTAATTTTTTTTATATACTTTTTACGTTTTAAAATTATCTTTTAATTAAAAAATTTTTTAATGCTGATAAAAAAGTTCTTGATAAATCCTGCACTTACGTAATTATTTTTATGGACAGAAAGCCTCAAGAAAGCAGGAAGTGAACCTTTGAAGAAGATTCTGAAAGATCTCGGTGGCTGGCCAGTCACTGAAGGAGACAGCTGGGATCCTGAGTCCTATGACTGGATTGATCATCTCATTAAACTGCGCGAGAAGGGCTTAAATCATAACATCCTTATAGGTCTGTCTGTAGTGGAGGATCTTCAAAGTGTCACGGGCTATCTGATAAAAGTGAGTGTATTTATTTTAGCGTATTTACTTTAGCGTGAGTGTATTTACTTTAGCGTGGATGTATTTACTTTATCGTAAGTCAGTGTATTTACTTTAGCCTATATAAGTCTCTAATTATAATTCTAAAGCAGTGTATTTGTGCCATAAATGTGCGGCCAAGTTAGATAATTTTGAGTACGTTTAAATTGGCGATATTAAAAAAAAAGTTGAACATAAACTGCAAATCAGATTGAGGAAGGTAATAATATTACTTTCAAATCATATGGCCGCCCAACCGGTAGTATGGCTTTCAACAAATATCCTGTAAGATTCTCTACTGTGTGCTTTAAGTTACACTTGAATGTGAAGAATGTTAAGAACTAGTAAACGAATAATCGCTTGAGTTCGTGAGACAGTAATTAAACTTGGAAAGGGTTAAAAGACCCTTTATTATTCAAATAAGATTTAACAGAACTCCGTCTTGGAGTTTTACAATACAGCCGACACTCGGGCTTGAACTTAGGAAACTAAGAATTAAAACTTAACTAATTTTAACTAAAAAGATATAGCCGAAGCTAGCAAGATTCTAACAGAGTTGGCCCCTTAACGCTAAATGATTTCGAACTTAACTAATTTTAACTAAAAAGATATAGCCGAAGCTAGCAAGATTCTAACAGAGTTGGCCCCTTAACGCTAAATGATTTCGAACTTAACTAATTTTAACTAAAAAGATATAGCCGAAGCTATCAAGGTTCTAACAGAGTTGGCCCCTTAACGCTAATTGATTTCGAAGCTAATAAGGGCCTAAAGTGCGGCCGAGCGTAATAATAGCTTAGAGAGAGCAGCCTAAAAAGGCGGAAGCGTGCTAGCCAGAATCCCTGATTCACTCTGATTAAGACAGTAGGACTTCGCGGTTAAATAGCGCTCTTCCTCAATTTGCATTGAAACGGGATTCTAAAACCCCGTTCTGGCCGGAAGTGGTAAGATGAAATTAAGAACCAATAGGAAAGGAATTTCAACTCAAAATTAACTGTTAATAAAATTAACACAATCCTAACACAACTCCCGACTAGACTTTAAATAGTGGAAAATTAAAGGTCCCTAAACGACCTTGTTTAAGACTTTAAAGTCTAAAAATTTTCTAACGTTAAACTAAAATGATATAGCCGAAGCTATCAGGATTCTAGCGGAGTTGGTCCCTTAACGCTAATTGATTGCGAAGCTAATAAGGGCCTAAAGTACGGCCGAGAGTAATAATAGCTTAAGAGAAAAGCCTAAAAAGATGGACGCGTGTAGGCCAGAATCTCTTATTCTCTCCGACTAAGACAGCAGAAGTCCGCGGTTAAATACCTTTGCATTCAAAAGTGATTATAAAACTACTTTCTGGCTGGAATTGGAAAGTTGAAATTAAGAAGCGATAGGAAAGGAAGTTTAACTCAAAATTTAACTGCTAATAAAATTAATATAATTCTTACAATGCCAAATTTTAAAACGCACCAGTATGTAAATTCACGTGTATCCTAGAAAATTTTGAACAACGAACTCTAATCTTTTGCATATGAGCCTAGAAAAACAGCTACTTTAAGATGATTTAAAAAATTTTAAACTTTATAATTCAAAATGTTTTTTGAAAAATTTATAAAAATTATTTAAAAATACAAATTTTAAACATAAATAATAAAAAGTGTCGAATTTTATTTGGAATTAACTTAAATTTCGGAAGAATCAAACAAGTTTAATAAAATAAGAGATATTAACAAATACATACCAAATTCAATTATCATGGAGGAGCTAAAATTTTGAGAGCTAATTTTTTAAAAACGACTCAAGCGATTTTCACAAAAGTTGGTAGTTTGGCAGAATTTGAGACGTAGAATGGAATTGGAAAAAGAAATGTCATTTCAGAAAATATTCGATTGTTTGTCAAATACTTGTATTAGAGCAGTGCTATATATGAATCAAATATAAATCTTAAATCGAGCTTTCAAGACAACAAAGCATGGAAGTTGAATTTCGTCAATCGGCCCATTAGAACAATAGATATAGAACTGTTCCATATCTTTTCCTACTTCCTTTTCTAATTTCTGGTTTTATTAACTTTAAGTTAATTTCATATTTCCAGAAAAAATATTTCTAAATGAAATTTCTTTCCTTTACCTAACTCATAAAAAATATCACTCTTTTCTTCAAGCTGGATCAGCCGTCCTTAGAATTAGGTCGTGAACGCCTGTTCCCTTCAAATACAGAGGGAAAATTCGGTTACTTTGATTTGATGCTGAAAGTAGCTCGCCTATTAAGTGCAAATGATGATTCCTCATTGGAGCCCAGTTCCATATTTAACCCTGCTTATTTGGACATCGCTCTTAAAGTAGAGGCTTTCGAAAACAGTCTCAAAATCGTAAGTGCAGAAGACTCTTCCGTTTACTCTTAATCTATTTATTTATGGTTATACTTGATTTTTAGATTTATGCATTTATGATATTTCATCACGATATTTTATCAAAATTCAGTTTATTAAATCTGAATACATTTCAATGAAAGATACATAATTTTTATTAAATTTAATAAAGGCATTTTTGCGTAAATTTAAGATTTAACTAAAATTATATATAGAGAGAGTCATCTCCTTTTATGTAAAGTAGATTTAAAAGTCTAAATATTTTCCAAAAAGTTTTTGAACGAAGAATATAAATTTTATTTAAATTTACCCAAAAGTAACGAAGCCACGTTTGACAACAAGCCCTTGCTGTATTATTGCAGTTTTGGCAACCCTCAGCACTGTTCCTTATAGGAAACAGTGCCCCAACTGTCCCAACAAAACATCAATTTAACCGCCCAGTCGGTATAATGGTGAGCGACCCTGGCTGCCGTAGCAATGGGCCCGGGCTCGAATCCAAGAGAAGGCATGGTTGTAACTGTCTATCCCGTTACAGAAGGCAACGGTAGCCACCTATCACGTACTTGGTTACAGCCGAAAACATCGTGGCAAAAACATCGCGGACGAAAACGTCGTGGAGGAAACAACGCAAGGCGAAAACGTGATGGTACAAAACATCGTGAGAGAAAATAAAGCAAAAAGAAAAACATAGCAGTTCTAAAACATCGTGATACAAAATATCATCGTTGAAAATGAAGGGGTTCAAAAACTTCGCAGTTTAAAAACATCATCGTGGAAAATATTGTGGTAAAAAATAAAGTTCCTACAAATCATCTCATGACGATAACATAGCAAACGTGCGTTTTTCAGGCTTTAATAATTGTAATTGGATATTCTCATAATGATTTGTGAGCGCAAGATGGAAAGAATGATAATTTTTACTTTCACAATTTTTTAACTAATTTTTTAGAAACAGAGAAAGAAATTTAAACAAAACAATAAATAATTTTCACTCTAAGAATATCAGAATAATTAAAGTGAAGAAAATAATCTCATAATTAACTTTTTTATAGATGCGGTCATGCAGTTACTTATCTATATTTTTCTATTCTTTTACACATTATACTTTTCATGAAAAACTACCAGTAAAATTTTATAAAAAAATAATGACGTTTGTTAGTTAACTATGCCAGTTTATAATTCTATTAAGTGCTAGAAATTGCATTAATTTTCTATGCTTGTGTTTCCATTTTACATTTTTAACAAATATTTATTCGTTAATAAAAAATATGAAAGTAAGATTTGTCCTTCTTTCCATCTTGAGCTCACAAAAATCATTATGCGAATATATCCATTTACAGTTATTAAAGCTTGAAAAACGTACGTCTGCGATGTTATCATCATGCGATGACTTGAAGGTACTTTACTTTTTACCTCGATATTTTCCACGACGATGTTTTTAAACTGCGAAGTTTTTGACCCGCTTTATTTTCGACGACGATACATTGTACCAATATGTTTTTAGAACTGCGATGTTTTCTCTTTGCTTTGTTTTCTCCCACGATGTTTTCTACCACGTTTTCGCCTTGCGTTGTTTTCTCCTCGACGTTTTCTTCCGCGTTGTTTTTGCCGCCATGTTTTCGGCGGACACTCACGTATTTCCATCATGAAATGGCCACCTCTTCAGGCCCTTGTAGTGGAGCAAAGCTAATGGCTATTAAATAAAGCTCCAGACCATTAAAAAAAACACCACTTTGGTTCACTTTGGTTTAAAAAACACTTCATATCCATATCCGGAATGGAGTCCTTGAGTATGCAACTCGGAATTTTATTGATGGGAGAATAAAAGACCCGAAAGTTAAATTTCTGAAAAATATATGCAACTATATAGCTAATTGATGGAAAGAAAGGAACGACAACAGAATTTTTATAATCTCCTAATACAAGAGTGTGCCTTTTAGTGCGTTGAGATGAGAAATTTTTAACTGCTTGATTAATAATGTTGGGTGAAAAGCCCCTGTCAATTAATGGTCTTAATTAAAAATGAACTATTAAAAACTTAGGATAAACTTTACACGACAGTATTAGCAAAACCTAGAATGATATGAAATGCAATTTTGATATGTAATGATTTGGAAATGACACATATAGATGAAGCACACATAGTAAATCCGGAATGAAGAAGAAACTATGAAGTCATGCAGATTCAAAAATCATACTTCTTTTATTGTAAATATTTTGCGGCCACAGTTCACTACACGTACTAATCATGCCTGTTTCAGAGCAGTCACCTTTTAGATATTGTTGCGATAGAAAGAAAAGCATCAAGCAGCGTCTTGATGATGATAAAGGTAGAAGCAAAGTCCGCAGTTATCCAATATGGCAGCTTATTAAAAGAAAGTTTCAATTTAAACTCCGAATTAGATACGTCCTTACCAATATTAAGTCATATGTATGGTTTGATCTAGAAATGACGCAGTTCAGAAATTGTTATTACTATCTTTAGACTAGAGAGCGAAACTACCCAAAATAGAAAGAATTAAGAGCTATTGCTAATTTAAATTATAATTTTTATTTACACATTTTTCATCTTACAAATATATATGAAATAATTTGGAATACTGATGACATAAAAAAGTAGTTGCAGACGTAGTGACTAATACAATATTTCCCTTTAATCTCTTAACACAACACTTAAATTATTCCATTAATCTCACTTGTTCTTAAAACCTGCATCACAACCATTACAGTTTCGAAATACGATATATATTCGAAGATAGACAGACCAAGCACAGTAGTTAGTGAGAGAACATAACTTCAAGATCAGATCTCTGCTCGGCCCACTAGCGGCCGAGCGGTAAAGTCGCTGAACACTGGTAGTGCGGTCCGAGGTTCGAATCCCGCGAACGGGCTGGCTGCATGGGTGTTTTCGTGGTTTTCCCCCATGTGTAACGTGTATACGAGCCAGTTTCCCATAGAAAGTCCTCCACGAAGGCATCCCTCCCCTTAGGCAGATAGCCCTAGTGTGCTTTGCCATAATTAAATACACCACCACACACTACAAATCTCTGCTCAGAATATATTAGTTTCGGTTTTAATATATATTTTACTGTTAATCATAAGCAACTGGTATTCACCAAATACCATTCACCACAAAGGTATTCACCAAAGGCAAGGATGTCCCGTGGATCAATTATAGGAGAAAATATATATATTCGAATAAATATATATATTCGATCATAGACAAAACAAGCACAGTAGTTAGTGAGAGAAGAACATAACTTCAAGATGAAATCTCCACTCAGAATGTATTAGTTTCGGTTTTAATATATATTTTACTGTTAATCATAAGCGTCTATTACGGTATCCCACACAATGGTATTGGCCAAAAGCAAGGATGTTCCGTGGATCAGTTATAGGGGAATATATATATATATTCGAAGACATATATTCAAAGAAATATATTCGAAGATATATATTCGAATATATTTCTTCGAAATATATATATTCGAAGAAATATATATATTCGAAGATAGACAGAGCAAGCACAGTAGTTAGTGAGTAAACAACATAACTTCAAGATGAAATCTTGATATTATGTTGTTTACTCACTAATACTGTGCTTGCTCTGTCTATCTTCGAATATATACATTATCGATCAGTTATAGGGGAATATATATATATATTCGAAGACATATATTCAAAGAAATATATTCGAAGATATATCTTCGAATATATTTCTTTGAAATATATATATTCGAAGAAATATATATTTGAAATATATTTGAAGATAGACAGAGCAAGCACAGTAATATATGTTCGAAATATATATTTGAAATATATTCGAAGATAGACGGAGCAAGCACAGTAGTTAGTGAGTAAACAACATAACTTCAGGATGAAATCTTGATATTATGTTGTTTACTCACTAACTACTGTGCTTGCTCTGTCTGTCTTCGAATATATATATTATCGATCAGTTATAGGGGAATATATATATATATATATATATATATATATTTCGAAGACATATATTCAAAGAAATATATTCGAAGAAATATATATTCGAAATATATATATTCGAAATATATATATTCGAAGAAATATATATATATTCGAAGATAGACAGAGCAAGCACAGTAGTTAGTGAGTAAACAACATAACTTCAAGATGAAATCTCGGCTCAGAATGTATTAGTTTCGGTTTTAATATATATTTTATTGTTAATCATAAGCGTCTATTACAGTATCGCACACAATGGTATTTTCCAAAGGCAAGCATGTTCCGTGGATCAATAATAGGGCAAAATATATATATTCGAAGATATATATTCGAAGAAATATATATGTAATGTTTCAGTTATTCCAACACATCGTGGGCGAATGGCGAGGCTGTTCCATTACACGTTCTGGCAGATGATTGAAGCACGGAGAGAAATGACGACTCAGGACTTTTCACTTTTAACAGCAAGCATATCTTTATTTTAATTTATAGCAGATGACTTTTTCCAGATCGAGTTAATTAAATAACTTATTCAGTAATTGAACTATTAGATACGACTGACTTAAAACTTTAATACGTCATAACGTTCTAACAAAGAAAGAGGAGCATAGAGGAAGCGTTAGCAGGACGAAGGCGAGAAGGCATCTGTTTAGGAGATCTTATGACGCAGCATTTATATGGAAGGTTATGTAACAGAGTAGCTTCTAAAAAATGTAGAAAAACTTATGACGCAGCATTTATATGAGGAGTTATGTAATAGGCGCGAATGTTCTAGAAGGTAATGGTCTATGGGGAGATGCTGAATTGCAGAAAATTAATTAAAGGTTGCTGGTTCACAAATAGCAAAGCCATCGTATTTTTTATATTTTACATCTTAACCAAGCAATTAATTGAGCACTAAAATTAATTGCTTCTGCCCAGAATTTTACCGGAAGCTTATCAGGTTCAATGTTCCGTCTTACTTTCTTTGGGAACATGCACAGACCTGACTCGGAACAGGGAGCTTACTAAAGCTATGT